CCCCCCAGCTCTCCCAGCCTGGCTCCCCAGGACGCAGTGGGTGATTATCCCTGTGAATTCCTTTCCTGGAGCTCTCATTCCCCAGGTGTTGCTGTTCCCTCTCAGTGCCATGCCTGTGGGATCCCATTCCCACACCAGGATGTGCTGGAGGTTCTGGTTTCTCCCTTCACTTTTATTCACAGGAGAAAGTTCCAAATGACAACAAGGGCATCCATCCTTTTCTTCCACAGGGAGGGAAAACAGGCCCCAGCTGCCTTCCCAGCTCTTCCCATCCTGTCCTGACCCCTCATCCGTGGTGGAAGTGCTGCAGTTCCCTCTTTAGGAGCAATTAATTAGCCTAAATTCAGGATAGTCCCACTTTCCCCCTCCCTCCTTTCTCCACATCTTTCATTACCTGAACTTTGTAGCTGAAGAAAATTAACAAATCCTTAACAAGCTTTTTCTCAAGTCTAATAATTGTAAGGAATAAGCTCCCTTAGCACTGAAAAATAAGGAAAAGACCCTTCCTTGTAGCCCTCACGATGAGAAACATCCACCAGAGTGATTGAAATCTGCTTTTCCAGCTGCTCCCTGTGTCTGGAGTGACAGAAGAACATCCCTTTGTCCCTGGGAACGTTTCATCCCAAGTCAGTGCCCACAAAGAAGGGCATTCCCACCCTGTTTCCTGAACATTTCTTCCCAGCTGCACATTTTGGGGCACTTAGAGCTGATTTGGGGGGGAGCAGCCATGGAAGTGCTGCTCCATCCCTTCAGAGTTGGATTTCTGGAATTTTGCTGATAATGCCTGAATTTAATAGTGCTGAAATGCCAGAAACAGGGAGGAAGTGTTGGAGCAGGAAGGGGGATGTGCCACTGGAGCACAGGATCATTCCCTGCTGGCAGTGCCCCTGTCACAGCCCAGGTGTCACAGCCAGCCTGTGCTTTGGGGTTGAACTCAGGGCTTTAGTTTTGTCTGGAACTGAGGGGGAGACAAAAATGCCTGGGAAGAGGGAAAACTGATTTTTTTCCCAGCTGTTTTCCTTCACTGCATTTGGAGTCAGTTCCCTCTTGTCCATCTTCTCCATTCCCTGCCAAAGTCTGGGCTGTGTGCCTGGGAACCCAAAGGAACATGAGGTTAATTCCTCTGGAAACCTTTCAGTCAGATCCTGGAGAAAAACCCAAGTAGTTGTTAATTCCTTAGAACATGCTCTTGTTACTTTGGGCACTTATCTCTGGGGTAAACGTTCACAGAAAACTGAAGGCCTTGGAATCACATCCATAAATAACAGTGAATTCTGCTGATCCTGATCCTGATTGTCTGCAGTGAGTTTGGGAAGTGCCTTTGGAAAGGAGATGGAGATCTCAGCACTGAGGCTTAAAGGGCTTTTTTATCGTGGTGCCTTTTTCAGGAGACATTATTTCATTTAACAGCCAATCCAGGAGGTTTTTCTGTAGGAACACACAGTCATCCTGCAGGGAATGGCTGGATTTAAGGGGTAGGGAGTGGCCTGGGGGTCTTGTAGGTACTTGCTCAACTTGAGGTGTAATTTGTTAGAGGTGTGTGGCTGTTTGCTTAATAATATTAATAATATCAGCAATAAAAAGGAAGAGAAGGGGAAGGAGGAGGAAAAGGGGAAGAAGAAAGAGGAGAAGGGGAAGAAGGAGAAGAAAGGGAAGAAGGAGAAGAAAGAGGAGAAAGAGAAGAAGGAGAAGAAGAAGGGGGGAAAGGAGGAGGAGAAGGGGAAGGAGAAGAAGGGGAAGAAGGAGGAGGAGAAGGAGAAGAAGAAAAGGAGAAGAACATGTTCCCCCTGAGCTCTGCAGCCATTCACACCCTCACAGTACAGGGAAGAAGGTGCTGTGTGGGCTGAGGAGTGTTGGACATCCCTCTCCTGCAGGTGTATCCCAGACCCAGAGCCAGTTCTGCTCCAGCCACGGCTCTGGAGGGACCCAAACCCTCAGTGCTGTGCCACGGGTTCTGTCTGCAGTGCTGGGACATCCCCTCCAGTGCCAGCTCAGGGAGTCCCTGCCCTGGGCTGTAGGACAGTTCCCTGTGCTTTGATCTGCCACGTTTGGGGTGGTGGGCTCTGGAATGTGGAGCCTCTGGAAGTGCTGAACACTGACCCTGGGTTTGCCTTTCAGGCCGAAGCTGGGAAGAGAGACCCGAAGAGAGAGGAAGGGAGCAGAGCAAGGTATGGCCTGCAAGTGCTGGGGGGTTGTGTCTCCCTTTCCTTGGAATGCCCTGTCCATGATCTGGGGGGTGCTGAGCCTCTCTCCAGCCCAGCTCCATGGAAAATCCTGCTGGGAGCTCCCCCAGCCGTGTCCCTGCTCCTCCCCCCGTGTGCTCTGTGTGTCCCCGCAGAGCCACAGTGTTTGGGATTGCATTCCCAACCCATGGAAAACAGGAGGAAATCCTCTTTTGTCACTGTTTTACTGCTCTGGGCAGGGTTTCCCCCCTGGGCTGGCAGGTGTGTCTGGCTCCATGTGTTGGTGAGAGAATTTGGGGGGTATTTAACCCCCGAGGGTTTCTTTCATCCTGCAGCTCCTCCCTCTGTCACAGCCCCTGGCTCTGTTCTTTCTGTTTCCAAATGCTAAAAATGCACTGAAACTTCCTTGTTTAAGTTATTAACGTGAACTTCACTCTGTGATCCAGGTCCTGAAGTGATTTATAGAAATGTTTGTCTGCTCTAGAACACCAGGACCCAGAAACGGGGTTGGTTTGTGCCATTTCAAGCTGTTCTGTGGATGCTGGTTGTAGTAAACTTTCTGTTTGTGGAGTAACTGTTTGTTGGTTGTAGTTCTGATCATGATTTGTTTTATAAATGGATAGAGCATTACAAGTTTTTGTTAACAAATATGACTTAAATCACTTTCTGTCACTCAAACCCGTATTTCTGGAAAAGTTTTGTTGTTAAAAACCCCCCAAAAGCGTGTGATGATGGTCCTAAATTCCAAGTCATGCCATTATACTCTCTCTATATATATACACTGCTCTATATTTTCAGACATCATTCCTTTCAGAAGTCGAGTTGTCATTCCTTATGCCGTGAAACTCCTCCTTTTTGGGAACATTTAGTTCCCAAACCGTCTCTCCCTCCCAGCTTTGCAGCCACACAGGGAACCTTTTTGGTTCCAGCCAGGTGGGCTTTAACTAGTGCAGTTAATTCCTGATGATCAGGCGACTCTTCCATGAGTCCAGCCCTGCTGTGGCTGCTGAACACGTGGAAAGCTGCCCTTTTCCCCTGCAAATTCCCTACTCCACACGTTCTCCCTGTCTTCTCCCTCTGAGCCTTTGGGGCTCCGTTGCTTTAGTTCATTTCATAAGAAGCAGAAAACATCTTAAATGTTATTATAGACCCGAAGCCCTTCCCTGTGTTTCTGGAGAGGGAGGGATTAGTGAGATTCGGGGGGCAGAAGGGGCTGAAGGACCTCTGGAAGTTCCCCTGAGCTGGGAATTCCTCACACTTGGTTTGAGCACTGGTGTGCTTTCCTGGCTGCCTTTGTTTGGGATTAGTTGTCCTGGGCTGGGACAGCTGGGGGTTCTTCTCCAGGTTGTGACTCCTGGCTCATCCCACTGCTCCCTGTACTCTGGTTTGCTGGGTGTGGAGCAGGACATGGCCCAGGCTCTGTGCTGGGGCAGGGGCTGGATTCACCCCTCACATCCCTGGGCAGGCAGTGCCTGGCAGTGATCCATTGGTCCTGGATGCTTCCTGGGGGTCCCTGCTGTCCCTCTGCCCATCCCTCTCTGCCCCTCAGCCTGGTCTGAGCCCACGGGTGGGTTTTGGGGCCCCCCAGGGCCCTGGGAAGGCCCAGGGTGGGCTTTGTCTCCCCTCAGGATTTGGGGAGTGATGCCTCACTGGAGCTGTGATAATCCAGCTGTGCTGAGCCCTGTGCTTGGGGTGTCATCCCTGTTCCCAGACACTGCTCCATCCCTTCCCAGAAGTGCCTCAGCAGAGGCTGTGAGGGCAGGGCAGGGCTGGACCTTTATTTAATTCAAGTCTAACCCTGGGCCTGGATCTACACTTCTGGGCTCTGATGGCCCCAGGGTGTGCCCTGCTCCACAGGCATGGAGACTTCAGCAAATCCCAGTGGAAGGTGCTCAGACAGAAGAGGAAAATCCCTGGGCACAAACAGAAATGTTTCATTGCTGTCAGAATCCCTTCTGTGTCCTGGCTGAGGGGGCCAAGCCCATGGAGAGCAGAGGAGGGACTGAGGGCAGGAGTGTCCCCAGCCCTGCTGCCCCTGGTGACAGGCAGGGCTTTTCCATCTCCAGTGTTACACTGGTGCTGGGAAGGGTCTGGGAGCAGAATTCCCATCCCTTCTCCTCTCTCCATACATTTTGTCTCCATACCCTCCCTTGGAGCTGGTGTTTGCACCAGCTGAATGGATTTACCTGTTCTTGCAGAATCTTCCTCTTCTTACTGAATCTTCCTGTTGCTCCGTGTTTGTCTCCTTATCCCCCACCTTGGCCACTTCCAGGCTTAACCCTTCCCTGAGCCGAGTCCATTCTATCCAGCTCCATCCCTTGCTGGGGGGTCTGGCTGAGCTGGGAGGTGCTGGATGCTGCTCTGCTGGAGCTCTGTGGGATAACAGGCATCTCTAACTCCAGTGTCTCCCAAGATCCCCGTGGGGGAGTCTTTCCTTCAGAGAACACAAACACCCCTCATGTCTCAGGAGTTCTCTGAGGAGCTCCATGCTCTGGGTTGGCACCTTGGGCTGTGTCACCCCGGGGCTGGCAGTGGGTTATCCAGGGAAAGCAGAGCCCAAAGGAGCCTCTGTGCCCCTTGTGCGAGGTCAGCGTGGTTTGAACCCAGAGCATCCCCTCCCTTCCCAAAAACTGAGCCCAGCCCCAAACCTGCTGCTCCTGGCAGAGCTCTCTGGGCTGCCAACTGCCCCGTCTGGAGACAGAGCCAAACTGCTGATTCCTAAATCCAGAGGCACTGGAGCTTTGTTTTCATTGTCCATTCACTTTCCCACTCGGGATGTAAATTTTGGGGGGCCATGTGAGCCCTGAGGTCCCGGGGCACTCCTGGCACGGGGCCTGCCCACAGTCCTGCCCACGGCCTGCCCTCGAGGTGCTGAGGTGAGTTCTCAGCACCATCCCATTCCTCACCTCACGGTTGGCAGCACCAGCCCAGTTCCCAGTGCCGGGCGCTGCCGCGGCAGGAAGGGCCCTGCCAGGAGGGCTCTGTGAGTGTGGAATTCTCAACATGATTTGATTTCTTCTGTTTCTTTTAAATGCATTTAGCGCTGGCTCGAAAAAATCTCCCGAGGGGTCAGGAGTGGTGCCAAGAGCAGCTGCTGATCCGCCAGGAGAGCCCAGGGGGGCAAAGAGAGGAGCCACTCCCGCCTCCAGTGGCACGGAGGAGATCCCAGCGGGACAGACGGAGCCCCCCGAGCCCCAGCCGGGAGGAGCAGCCAGGGAGTCACCTGGGAGCCTGGCCCGGACGGCTGTGGAGGACGTGGATACTGGGATTGGTGTTCCCGTGAAACCTGCTGGCACCAGATCACCTGCAGAGAGGTGGGAAGAGAAGCTGCTGCCGCCTTCCAGTGCGGGGACGGAAGAGGCTCCTAAAGGTCCTCCTGAACCAAAGCTGCTGGAGAAGGGAAGCAAGGAGGGGGATGAAGAGTCGTCTGCCCCTGCCATGGAAGCACTGGGATCATCCAGCAGGGCTGAGGGGGATCCAGCGGGTCGTGGGGTGATCCCAGCAGCCGGGGAGCCAGCGGGGGCCAGCCCTGGAGCAGTGTCCCCCAGGGATGAGGGGGCTCCCATGGACACGCTGTCACCTGCTGTCACCCAGCCAGCCAGCGAGCTGGCTGCTCCTGGGAAGAGCCCTGTTCCTGAGGCTGGGAAAAGCAACCCTGAAACGTCTGGAGCTCCGGTGGCCGAGAGGAGACCTGTCCCTAAAACCAGGGAGGCCCCAGGGAAGAGACTGGATGTGGCTGGAGCAGAGGAGGGTGTGCTCAAAGCTGGACACACTGCGGAGGAGAACCCCGGGAAGCTCTTGGGCAAGGCTGGGGCAGAGCTGGAGAAGCAGCTTGGAAAAGCAGCAGCCAAGGCTGGGGCTGCTCTGGAAGATGCTCCGAGTGCCGTCGGTGGGAGCAGCGCGGGAAGTTCGGCCAAAAGCCACCAGAACAAAGGGACGGGAGCGGCAAACCCCGACAGAAGCCACCCGGGAGCTCCACTGAGCCCCTTTTTATCCCTCAAGGAGCCCGCTGTGGGTAAAACCCTCCTGAGGGCAGTGGTGTCTATCCCGGATATCTTCAAGGCCAGGCCCCCAGCGAAGAGCAGCGAGCCCTCCCCGGGCAAAGGGGGGGAGCAGAACCCCCCCAGAGCCGAGGGCCAGGCAGGGGGGGACAAGAGAACCCCCTCCAAAGCAGCCCAGCCCACAGCAGGGAGCGCCCAGGGGAGAGGGAGCGGCAGCTCCACAGTGGATGGACAGGGAGGCAGTGGGAGGAGCTCATCCCAGCAGGAGAAGGACTCCCAGGTGGAATCTAGGGCTGGTTCAAAACAGAGCCAAGAGGGAGAGAGTGGAGCCCCCGGCACGGAGGAGGACCCCGGCAGCACTCAGGTGAGAGGCAGGAAGGTCCCCGTGCCAGCACTGACCCCGGGCTTCTCCCAGCCTGGGACAGTGGCTGCGTGTTCCCCTTCCCTTTTCCATACATCCACAGTTCCTTTATCTGCCATGTGTGCAGCACGAGGGTGGAACTGGTGGGAAAGTCCTGCCGAGGTGCTGTGGAAGTGAGTCGTGGCTGTATCCTCACTGTGTGTCCTCGGAGTGGTTCCGGATGGGAGCTGAGCTGTGTGTCCTCTGGGGAGCTGGGATTTGCTGTGCCCAGTCCTGCACAGGCACTGGGCACTGGGATTTGCTGTGCCCAGTCCTGCACAGGCACTGGGAGCTGGGATTTGCTGTGCCCAGTCCTGCACAGGCACTGGGAGCTGGGATTTGCCGTGCCCAGTCCTGCTCGGGCACTGGGCACTGGGCAGAGGCTCCTGAGGTGTCACCTCATGGTCGGTGGCCGGTCCCTGGAGCAGCAGCTCTGCCCAGCCCGGAGCAGGAGCAGCCCTGGGGACATCCCAGAGCAACTCCTCAGGGCCTGGAATAGCCATGTCTGGTGGTGGGTTTGGTCTCCTGGGAGCGGGGCAGGGGCTGACCCCGTTCCATGGGAACTCCTCTCTCGTTTTGCAGGGTCCTGGTGGGGACAGGACCAGTGGCGCTGGCAGCAGTGGGAAGCAGAAGGAGGTAAGGATGGAACCATGGGGGGATTGAAGGTGCAGAGGGTGTTGATGTTCCAGGCCAGGCTGGACAGGGCTTGGAGCAACCTGGGCTGGGGGAAGGTGTCCCTGCCCATGGACAGGGGTGGCTCTGGGTGGGATTTCAGGTCTTTTCCAACCCAAACCATTCCATGGTTCCTTGACCCCAGGCCTGGGTGCTGCTCTCAGGAATCCTTCCCCACCTCCCACGGGGTGGGATCACCAAGTCCCTGCCCTTCCTGCACCCAGTGCCGGTGCCGTGGGCTCTGGGATGCTGGAATTGCTTTGGGATCTTCCCACGTGCTGGGTTCCCCCCAGATCTCTCGGTCACTGTTCCCAGGAGCCGGGACCGCCAGGAAGGCCCAGCTGGGATCAGATGCCATGAAATCCATCCCTGGGAACCATCTGGCCCTAAAGCAGCACCCAAAGCTGCCCCAGAGCTCTGTTCCCAGCCCGTGGTGTCCAGTCCCTTTTCCACAGGCGGCCAACGCAGTGTGGGATTGCTGGGAAAGGGCCCTCCCAGGGCACTCCCTCCCTCTGGGCAGAGATCCTTGGGATTTTCCGTGCTCTGGAGCAGGCCCAGGTGCTCTGTGTGCTCTGGATGTGCTTTCTGAGCTCCAACAGTCCTGCTCTTTTTTTTTTTTTCTTTTTTTTTTGATCTGTTTAATTTTCCATAGGAAACCAGAAACAAATCCAAGAAACCTTCATTATAAAAGAGCCAGGTTTTGAATTTATTTGCTTTTGAGTGGAGTCACATATTCCCAGTTCCCGGAGCCCTGGGAGCCCTTGGAGCATCCCCAGCCTGGCGGGTGCAGCTCCAGTGACTCACAGGGGGAACTCACAGCCCAGGACGGACACTGAGCCTGGAAAACGCCCCCTGGGAAGGTGCTTTTCCAGGCTGGAATGCTCTGCGTGGCTGGGGCTGCTCTGGCTGAGAGGGGAAAACCAGGACCTTGGATCCTGGAGACCCGGCTGGGAAAAATGGGGATAAAACCCACTTTGGTGGGATCTGATTCCGTGTTTGGGTCCGTTGGCACATCCCACCCGTCCCTCCTGTGCTGCCACCAGGCTGCCCAGCCTGGGAAATCTGGGGGCCAGTTCTCATGTTCAGGGAGTGCTTTCCCCCAGGATATTCCCGGGGGATGCCCAGGCAGTGGGATCAGGGGCCTCCCCTTCCTGCTGCTTCTCCCGGCACAGCACTGGGATATCTCCAGGGGTCCCCTGGGAATGGGACCCCCAGGGATCCCTGCTGGCATCTCCCTACATCCTTGTTCCCATTTGGAAAGCTCTGGCTCCAGCAGGTGGGGGTGGCCTGGGAAGCTTTGGGATGGCTCAAATCCGAGAGGTGGGAATAGTGTGATAGGGACTGGGTCTGATATCCACAGGGAAGCAGCTTCCAGGAGGGATCTGGGGCGCCCTGGGTCTGCTGGGAATGGGGCTTTGGACCCCTTTGCTGCTCCCTGTCCACCTGGAAAACCCCCAGGAACTGGGATGAGCTTCCTGGTGCTGCCATATAAACCNCACAGGCAGCCAACGCTGCCAGGCTGCTCTTCCCAGCCCGGGCAGTGTGGGATGCTGTCAATTGATCCACTGGGATTTCGCAAAGTGCTTTGGTTTCCTGAATTAAATCCGAGTGAAATCCAATGAATCCTCCCCCGTGGGACTGAGGGCCTGGACAGTTTTCCCTGCCCTCAAATGAAGTTGGTTTTTCCCCCTGCAGGCAGGCTGTGGATGTTTCTCCCGAGGCTGTGGGCGGGGGTGAAGTTGAATGTTACCTTCTCACTTTGACACTCCCCAGGAAGAAGAGCTGTTCCCGTTTAACCTGGACGAGTTTGTCACCGTGGACGAGGTGGTGGAGGAGGTGGAGTCTCCGGTCCTGCCGCGGCGAAACCCCCCCAGGGGCAAGAGGAAAGAGGGGGCCAAGCCCAGCCCGTCGGAGCCCGCGTCCAAGAGGAGGAAAGGGAAGAGCTCCGGGGCCAAGGGGGAGCCGTCCTTCGTCACCCTGGACGAGATCGGGGAGGAGGAGGACGCGCCCGCCCCGCCGGGGGACCCCCAGGGGCTGCTGGTGGTGGACGAGGTGCTGGAGGAGGAGGAGCTGTCGGAGGCGGTGAAGGACCCGCAGGCCCTGCTCACCCTGGACGAGATCTCGGAGCAGGAGGAGCCGGGAGCCCCCAGGGACCTCCCCCAGCCCGCCTTCAAGGAGCGGGACCTGAAGACCGAGCCCCTGGTGACGGTGGATGAGATCGGGGAGGTGGAGGAGCTGCCCCTGAATGAGCCCGCCGAGCTGGGCGGGGAGGAGGGCAAGGCCGGCGCCGCAGACTTCGCGTCCTCGCAGGTGCCCGACGACCCCACGGCCCTGGTGACCGTGGACGAGATCCAGGAGGACAACGAGGACAACCCCCTGGTGACCCTGGACGAGGTGAACGAGGAGGAGGACGATTTCCTGGCGGATTTCAACCACCTCAAGGAGGAGCTGAACTTCGTCACGGTCGACGAAGTCGGGGACGAGGAGGAGGAGGAGGAAAACGCGTCCCCAGGGAAGAGTGCACACAAGGATGAGGAGGAGGAGGACATCGTTGCTGTGGCAGGACCAGAAGAAGAGGAAATCGCTGCCAGTGCAGGACCAGAGGAGGAGGACATTGTTGCTGTTGCAGGACCAGAAGAAATAGGAATTTTGGGGGATCCGAATCCAGAAGAGGAAATCTCTGCAATCTCCAAGCCAAAAGGTGAGGGACCTCAAGGCCAGGTTGGAGGGGGCTTGGAGCCCCCTGGGCTGGTGGGAGGTGTCCCTGCCCATGGCAGGGGTGGGATCGATGGGCTTTGGGTCCCTTCCAACCCAAACCATTCCAGGATTCCCTTCCATTCCAACGTGCATTTCTGTCTCCAGCAGCTCAGCTGGGATCAGGAGGGGCAGAACCAGAGCCCAAGCAGAAGAAAGCTCTGGGTGTCCCCAAGATGCAGAGCACTCCCAAAGGGAAACCCAGAGGAACCACCCCAAACTCTCCAGGCTTTCCTGGTAGGAAGAACTTTCCTGTCTGTTTAAAACTCCTTCCGTGTCCCACAACCACACTGAACCTCGAAGTCAGGGCCCAGAATCCATGATTTTTGTCCTTTGCTCCTCCAAATCCCTGTTTAACCAGTTGAAAGCTCAACAGGGAAAGTACTTTTTTCCTAAGATTTACAAATACAGGCAAATTTATTGATGGTCAGCACAGGGCAGTGGGATACCTCCTGAGTGTTCCCATCCTGGGATGAGTTTTATTCCCAACTTTCCGTGCCTAGGAAGGAGGGAACTGCTGACACAGCTTTGAAATGGGGGTGTAGAGATGTATTCCCTTTTTTTTTTAATAAGATCCTCCTCTAAATTCCTTTTCCATAAAACACTGGAACCAGAAAAGGAGTTGCTGGGAACATCTGGCTCCTGGTCTGATGGCTTGGGGGCCATTCCCTGGAAGGATGGGGCTGGTGGGACACTGCAGAGCCACATCTGGCCCAGGAGTTGGAGATAAAACACCTCAAAGGCCAAAAGATGCCGAGGAAGTTGCAGGGGCCTTCAGATCCAAAAAATTCCCAGAAATTGCTGTGGTTACTGCCCATGGCAATGATGTGTGGGTTGAAACAGGGACCAGCTCGAGTGAGAAACCGGGTTTTTTGAGGGCTGAGACCCTGTGATTTCCACCCAGGACCCCCAAATTGCCCGGGTTTGGGGAGGGAGTGTGGGGTTGGGATGTGTCTGGAGCTGCCTGTGGTGACTGTCGTGTGCTGCTCCCTCAGCCCTGGACATCCTGGTGCCCAAGGCCGGGTTCTTCTGCCAGATCTGCTCCCTGTTCTACGCCGACGAGCCCTCCGTGATCCAGCACTGCCGGACCCCCCTGCACCGGCACAACATGGAGGTACCCTGGCAACAGGCCCGGGGCTGGGGGCTCCTGTCACCCCTTGGGGGTTTGGGAACAGGGAACAGCCCCAAACCCGGGGCTGGGGGGGCTCCTGCTCACCCCTTGGGGCTTTGGGAACAGGGAACAGCCCAGACCCGGGGCTGGGGGGCTCCTGCTCACCCCTTGGGGCTTTGGGAACAGGGAACAGCCCAGAC